AACTCTATGAAACATCACGGATTAGTACAACAATTCTATGGAACGTCACTGATCAGCCCAACAACTCTTTAACACAAACAGCTAAAGGATGACAACGTTAGGTTTATTTTATTCACACATTTTTACAACAGTTTCACTTTAACTGGAATTTCACAATATTTATCATTATTCTAGTATGTACAAAACGCTTGCTGGGTGTCAGATGGGATCTCTGGCATTACGGCTGCATGTTTCTACAGAAGAGAACGTTTCATTCCCAGTGGCAACTCATGGCTAAAATACTGAGTAAGAACAGGGGGAGCTGCAGTTCTGCAGTGCCAATGCATGAGTTGGCACTGTTCAATCCTTTTTGAGATGACTCAAGTCTAGCAAAACCAAACAGTGTGAATGTCGATCATGAAAATCTAATGAATGACTAGAATTCCTTTACCTCGGCTGGGAATTAAGGCCACAGAGTTCTGATGGACTTGGGCTTAATTTGAGATAAACATCTTCAGACTGACTTGTACACCATAAAATACAGTATATTTCAAATGAATTTATCATTAAAGCCCTCTAACATTGCGTGCCCCTGGGTCATGAGCTGCTGTCGACTGCCTGCTAAACTCCTTCCACCTCTGTCAGTCAGACACAATGGACTTCATATGTGCATAATTAGGAAGACTACTATCAGACAAATTTTGTATCTAGGTGTTTCTTCATCACCACTTCTCCTCTCCTCTCTAGACAGCCCTGAAGTATAGTTCTTGAGAGAGGACAAGTAGACCATGTTACTTGTATGTACCATTGCAGCTGAGTCTTTTTAACTGGTGTCAAAAAAAGGTTCACAGCGGTCGAGGTGTTGAATGGTGATACAACAGGCTTCAATATTTGCGATGTTGTCTCAATACGATATACCCAACATTTTTTCATGCATTATGATCCCAGAATTCCCTGTGTGTGTTCCGGGGCCCTACTATAGGGAAAACAAGAACAGACCCACTGCCTACTCAAAAGCATGTCGTAAGAGTCGACTAATTGGGAGCTTCCTTCGAAGTCGGAGTGCATCTGCCTGAGAGGCAAGGAACCAACAGTCTGCATACAGATCTGTCAAACGGATGCACACACAACACTCTGGTTCTGGAACAGGACTGCAGTCCAGAAGTGGGGGAACAACCAGAACTTTCTGCCAGAGTTTACAGCCGGTGAACGAGAAGAAGATCCCAGAATGCTCCAACAGAACTAGACCTAAAGCCAGCATGTTTATAATCAATCATGTAGAGGTTATGAACAAAACATGTGATACTGCAACAGGATCAGGGCTCAAACTGGTCTAGTCTATCTACATCTCTCCAAGGACATATCAGAAACAGGTTCCTACTAGAGGCCTCGCCAATGTAGATAGCTTCAAAGTTTTCTTCCAAGCTTGGGCAAATCTCCCTGAGAGGTAAGGAACCAACAGTCTGCATTCAGATAAGCCAGATCTTTAAAATAATTTGCATGCAATAATCATGTTCTGGAATAAAACAAAACTCCCGAAGTGACTGAACAGCCAAGACTTTCCACTGGTGTTTACTGCCAGTGAACGTGATGGTCTCACATGTCAGAAACAGACTTGATGGTCTCACATGTCAGAAACAGACTTGATGGTCTCACATGTCAGAAACAGACTTGATGGTCTCACATGTCAGAAACAGACTTGATGCTCTCACATGACAAAAACAGACTTGAAGCTCTCACATGTCAGAAACAGATTTGATGCTCTCACATGTCAGAAACAGCCTTGATGCTCTCACATGTCAGAAACAGACTTGATGGTCTCACATGTCAGAAACAGACTTGATGCTCTCACATGACAGAAACAGACTTGATGGTCTCACGTGTCAGAAACAGCCTTGATGCTCTCACATGTCAGAAACAGACTTGATGCTCTCACATGTCAGAAACAGACTTGATGCTCTCACATGACAGAAACAGACTTGATGGTCTCACATGTCAGAAACAGACTTGATGCTCTCACATGTCAGAAACAGACTTGATGCTCTCACATCTCAGAAACAGACTTGAAGCTCTCACATGTCAGAAACAGACTTGATGCTCTCACATGTCAGAAACAGACTTGATGCTCTCACATGACAGAAACAGACTTGATGCTCTCACATGACAGAAACAGCCTTGACGCTCTCACATGTCAGAAACAGACTTGATGCTCTCACATGACAGAAACAGACTTGATGCTCTCACATGTCAGAAACAGACTTGATGCTCTCATATGTCAGAAACAGACTTGATGCTCTCACATGACAGAAACAGACTTGATGCTCTCACATGTCAGAAACAGACCTGATGGTCTCACATGTCAGAAACAGACTTGATGGTCTCACATGTCAGAAACAGACTTGATGCTCTCATATGTCAGAAACAGACTTGATGCTCTCACATGACAGAAACAGACTTGATGCTCTCACATGTCAGAAACAGACCTGATGGTCTCACATGTCAGAAACAGACTTGATGCTCTCACATGACAGAAACAGACTTGATGCTCTCATATGTCAGAAACAGACTTGATGCTCTCACATGACAGAAACAGACTTGATGCTCTCACATGACAGAAACAGACTTGATGCTCTCACATGACAGAAACTGACTTGATGCTCTCACATGTCAGAAACAGACTTGATGGTCTCACATGTCAGAAACAGCCTCGATGCTCTCACGTCAGAAACAGACTTGAAGCTCTCACATGACAGAAACAGACTTGATGCTCTCACATGTCAGAAACAGACTTGATGCTCTCACATGTCAGAAACAGACTTGATGCTCTCATATGACAGAAACAGAAATGATGGTCTCACATGTCAGAAACAGCCTTGATGCTCTCACATGTCAGAAACAGACTTGATGCTCTCACATGTCAGAAACAGCCTTGATGCTATCACTTGACAGAAACAGACTTGATGCTCTCACATGTCAGAAACAGACTTGATGCTCTCACATGACAGAAACAGACTTGATGCTCTCACATGTCAGAAACAGACTTGATGCTCTCACATGTCAGAAACAGACTTGATGCTCTCACATGTCAAAAACAGACTTGATGCTCTCACATGTCAGAAACAAACTTGATGCTCTCATATGTCAGAAACAGCCTTGATGCTCTCACATGTCAGAAACAGACTTGATGCTCTCACATGTCAGAAACAGACTTGATGCTCTCACATGTCAGAAACAGACTTGATGCTGTCACTTGACAGAAACAGACTTGATGCTCTCACATGTCAGAAATAGACTTGATGCTCTCACATGTCAGAAACAGACTTGATGCTCTCACATGTCAGAAATAGACTTGAAGCTCTCACATCTCAGAAACAGCCTTGATGGTCTCACATGTCAGAAACAGCCTTGATGCTCTCACATCTCAGAAACAGATTTGATGGTCTCACATGTCAGAAACAGATTTGATGCTCTCACATGACAGAACCAGACTTGATGCTCTCACATGACAGAAAAAGACTTGATGCTCTCACATCTCAGAAACAGCCTTGATGGTCTCACATCTCAGAAACAGACTTGAAGCTCTCACATCTCAGAAACAGACTTGATGGTCTCACATGTCAGAAACAGACTAGAAGCTCTCACATGTCAGAAACAGACTTGATGGTCTCACATGTCAGAAACAGACTTGAAGCTCTCACATCTCAGAAACAGCCTTGATGCTCTCACATGTCAGAAACAGACTTGATGCTCTCACATCTCAGAAACAGACTTGATGGTCTCACATGTCAGAAACAGCCTTGATGCTCTCACATGTCAGAAACAGACTTGATGCTCTCACATGTCAGAAACAGACTTGATGCTCTCACATGTCAAAAACAGACTTGATGGTCTCACATGTCAAAAACAGACTTGATGCTCTCACATGTCAAAAACAGACTTGATGCTCTCACATGTCTAAAACAGACTTGATGGTCTCACATGTCAGAAACAGACTTGATGCTCTCACATGTCAAAAACAGACTTGATGCTCTCACATGTCAGAAACAGACTTGATGCTCTCACATGACAGAAACAGACTTGATGCTCTCACATGTCAAAAACAGACTTGATGGTCTCACATGTCAAAAACAGACTTGATGCTCTCACATGTCAGAAACAGACTTGATGCTCTCACATGTCAGAAACAGACTTGATGCTCTCACTTGTCAGAAACAAAGTTACAAACTTCCAGGATGTCATCTACAAACATATACAATAGAATGTAACCACTAAGCTTCAACCAATATTGAAACCATTGACATGAACCAAATTCATCTGTATAGATGAACACATCTGCAACAATCACTTCCTGAGAGAGATGTTTTCCCTCGAATGAGAAAACAAAATTCACAATATTTTTCCTTAATAAATGAGTTGAAAACAAAAACTAAAATTGTGTCGTTGCCACTTGCACAGGGAACTGCTGTTTTTTTTTTAAAGCCTCAATCTTTTTCCAGGTCCACTTTTTAAATAAACCACCTACCACAGAAATCGGACCTTAGTACTAGAGAATCGAGAACTGTTAAATGCATTCACTAATTTCTAAGGTTCACAGCCGCATACTGAGTTTTTGTTACATTAACTGGGCAAATACAATTGTAATTTTTACCCTGCTTAGGACTGGTAGTTAGAAATAACTAAAATAGTTTCTTCCCATGCTTTGGCAATTACAATTATTTTACACATTAACTTTGCCACTGAATTAGCTTCTGTAGACCTTAGAAGTATTTGCCTAATTTTTGTTAAAACAAAAAACAGTAGCTTCCTTCCTATATGTGGCACAATAGCTGCTTCCACACTTATTGTGCAGATAAAAAATGTGACTTTCTTCCCAATGACGGCAGAGAAGTTACGGAACCACATACTTTGTTTGCTCTTAAATTTGTCAGAATAGTCATAGGTGACAATCAATGACCCCTGACGGTCAAGCTGGGCTCCGCTGGTGTAAACTTAATCTGACCCGAAGCCAGTAACAATAAAAATCAGGAACCACACAGACGAGTGTCAATCATCTTTGCTGGATTTATGCCCATTACGGCAGCCAAAGTTTGCAGGAAAAACTGATGAGCTTGCGACAACACCTCCCACCGGGACTTCATGCAGGAGCAGTTACAATGAGGCCAAGGGCACTTGTCTATCAGCTGTTGTCGACAATGTCTGTTTCCCGGTTTCAAGTTTTTCATGTACTGCCCTCCTGTAACCAAGGAAAACATTGTTTTAGTCAGCATATATTATCGAAAAAAATCAGCAAGATAAACTGTTGCAAAAAACTGTTGTTCCTGATTGAAAAACTTATTATTTTAAACCTTAAAAAAGTGCATATGAAATTACAGCTACCAAAAGTAAGAACAATGAAACAAAGTAAGAAAAAAAAAAAAAAAAAAAAGCAAAAAAAGTTCAAAGAAAACAATTGAAAAATTAAAGACAAATCAGGCAAACTGTATGAACAAAAGAAAATAATTAAAGAAGAAACAGAAAAGATTAGACTAACAAGAAAGAAAGAAAAAAAGAAAGAAAGAAAAAATGATATTTACAGAATTAATGTCTTACTATTTTCATCCTTTCTTCCATTTCTCCGTTTGTGTTTGCCATTCTTCCACCGCGTCCCTTTGTCATTTCTGCTGGCTGCTTCAGCAGATGTAGATACTTCATATTTCGTAGGTGCCAGACGAGTGCTGAAATGTAAACACAGATGATGTACAAGGCTCCATTCAGGCTCCCACACCAACCATATACTTATACATGGTCAATGTTGAAATAAGACTTAAATCACTTCCGATTTACAATGCATCTGTTATCTGTTCTGTGTATTTGTGTGTCTTCCTATCCACCACATGCTTCTTATCTTGTATTTGTATGTGTATGTCATCCTACCTACTAAACATATGATGTCTGTTGTGTAGAACTGCATGAATGCGTTTCCATATCCGCTAAACATATGCTCTCTATTGTGTGGGTGTGTACCTGTGTGTTCCTATTCACTACAAATCTGTTGTATTATTATTTAATACAACAATGCAGTGACTGGCCAGCTGGTGCTGCAGAATCAGAAGTTCAACAAATGATTCATGACAATTCCTGCCCAGGTGGTGTGATTGTATATACAGATGGCTCTGTGGTGAGTGGCAGTCGAAGTGCATGGGGGTTCATAGCGAGGGCGAATGGACGTCGCTTGGCGCCTCAAAGCCTGACATATGATATCACAACGTTTAGTTTGAGAATGGAGGTGGAGGAGGTCACTGCTGCCTTCCGTTGGCTTGAGAATCAGCTGTACACATGTCGTCATTGTAACTGACTCACAGAGCATGCTGAGAAAGGTGGAGACAGGCATGCTCGGTGCATAGTGGCAAGCATCACTTCAGAGGTCCCGGGTAGTTAGCATCCTTTGGATATTTTCTTCAGGTAACACCGGTGTGTTAGGAAATGAGCAGGCGGATAGACTGGCCAGTTCTGCACTACTTGGTGGTGAACTGATATATGACAAGCTGGATGTTGTGAGGGTCCTTTGGGAGCGATTGAACAGTGCCGAGGAACAGATAGATCATTACGGTCTGAGGAGAATGGCACTGCGAGGAGTTACAAGGGGATCTGGCTGATGCTCGACACTCGGGGGAGGGGCAAGATGGATATACAATCAGATTGTTACTGGTACCATCAGAATTTTAACTCTTCGCTTGCTGCTGAAGATGGGAATAAAGTGCTTATGGGAGTGTCCCGAGTGCTGTGATGTCAATTCTTAATTCAACATTCAAATCTGTTGTCTATTTTGTGGTTGTGTCTGTGTGTTCTAAGATACATATCATTTTCTTTCAAACTACAAAGATCAACATCATGACTTGTGATTTGTGCTTCGCAATGTTGGGTTGCCGGGTTCGATCCCTGCTGCGGGACATGTGCCTTACGTTGGTTTCGACAGTGGGGTTCGATCCCTGCTGCGGGCCATGTGCCTTACGTTGGTTTCGACAGTGGTATCAAAAAAGCCGACCGTCAAGAAAGCAATGGCAAACTACTGGATGTAAATTTGCCTAGAAAAACTACACAACAGCCAGGGGCTGTTGGGGTTAGTTCTGCAACGTCCTGTAAAGGATACACAACTACCCTTCTCTGTACAGGACACTGACTCACTAATGCAGAACTCTGGGAGAAAATAAACAAGTTCCAGTGGACCAAGAGGTGAAGAAAAGACACTGGCATTACATAGGACACATGTTGAGAAAACCTGAGAACTAAATAACTAGAATGTCTTTGTAGTGGAACCCACAGGGGCACAGAAATAAAGGAAGACCAAAAAACACATGGAGAAGGGAGCTAGAGAGTGAAGTTCAAAAGATGGGGAGGACATGGGAAGAGCTGCATGTGATAGTGAAGGATAGAAAGATCTGGCGTAAGTTGTCTGAGGGCCTATGCTCCATTGGGAGCTAGAAGACAGTATAATAATACGACAGTTGTATAAAAAACAAACCTCAAATGTCCACACAAAGAATTGTTAGTGTGGCTCATCTCCCAGCAGTGTAGGGACTCTGGCAGTGACACCCCATCAATGATTAATTTATGCCACTCTCTACATGAATATACAAAAATGTGTTATTTAAATAATCAATTATACAGAGATTAGAACAGGCAAGTTTTTCCCTTTCTATACAAGACAGTCACCACTGTGACCATACAACACAAAAGATCTCAATGTACCTTGTTCTTGAAAAATTATCTGGCATTTGCCGGCATCATGTAATTTATGCCAGAATTATATAGAAATCTGTGGCTTAGGTGTTGTGAACATGCTTCGTATTTCCAAGGTATTTGGTTCAATTGCAGCTGAGAACAATTTGGCAGCAGATCACATTTCATTGATTTCGACAATGGTATCAAAAGCTGACGGTTGAGGGCCAATAGCAAACTACTGAATGTAAAATTACCTTGCAAAACCAAACAGCCAAAAACTGCTGGGTTTGCTTCTGTAGTTTTTGTAAAGGATTCACAACTAACTTTTTATACACAAGCCACCTATACACAGACCACCTGTACACAGACCACCTGTACACAGGCCACCTGTACACAGGCCACCTGTACACAGGCCACCTGTACACAGGCCACCTGTACACAGGCCACCTGTACACAGACCACCTGTACACAGACCACCTGTACACAGACCACCTGTAGACAGACCACCTGTACACAGACCACCTGTACACAAGCCACCTGTACACAGACCACCTGTACACAGATCACCTATACACAGGCCACCTATACACAGGCCACCTGTACACAGGCCACCTGTTCACATACTGAACAGATCATCATATATATCATCATATACCAGCAAATATGTGTAGACGGCCATTTTCTGCCAGATCCAGAATCACGGATCAGAACAATGCTGTTGACCCACCCTATTCAAATGGATTAACCATCCAGTTATTTATCTCTTCATCTTCCTATTGCTATCTATTCATTAATCCCACCTACGGTCACCAAGTTCTTGAGTTCATTCATTCGCATAACATGTTTTAAAAAAGTTTACAAAAACACCCCGGTCTACATCTAATTTATCTAATCAGTTTAGAATTGTCATCTGCCTTATGTGTTTTGTTTTCTGTTATTCCATGACATTCTTTGTAATTTATCTTGACAATTTAAAGAAGATAGTTAGTTTACCATCGCTTTCCTTCTTGTCCTGAGGCCATCATTGTTGAGAAGGCTCCCTGTCACATCATCCTACAATTATAACTACTATTATGGAGTCAGCATTTAAAAGAAATACCCATTTCTTCTCTGAACTGAATTGTTTTGGATACATGGTGTTTACTCAATATTGTTTACAAACTAATAGGTACTTAATGTGTGATGATGTCAGTTACGTATTATCTGCCTTTACTTCCAAGAGCATTTACTTTTACCCATTTTAGGCTGGGTCAGTTTGTAGCCGAGTTGAGTTGTATCAATTTGTCTTTGTGTGATTTAAACCTATACCCAGTATGTTTGCAGTTAAACATGCTAGTCACTGCATCATCATTCCTGAGTGCGTGAGTAACGTTCAACCCCACCAAGACTGCACCATTAGTGGTTAACACCCGGTGACACAGACTGCCACCATTCAGATGAGAAGCCCCCAAGACAAGTCCCAGAAATCCCATTCAATTCTTAGGCTATATGGGAACCCTGACTATAGCCATCAGGCAGCTTAAAAAAAAAAACTGCTCTTTTTTGGGTTAATTAATATAATTTTTTTTTAAAAATGAGCTGACCCTGTTAAACCTGTATTTGAAAAGTTATAGCTAGTAAGTAAATTTCACAGAGCGATAAACACCCGGTGACTCAAAGTGCCACCATGCTGATGAGGATCACCCGTGGAGAGGTCCTGGAAACCATGTTTAACCATGCCACAGGTGTCAGGTGCCATTAGAGGTAAATTAATAAAGCAGCGACGAAGGCAAAGAAGAAGTAGAAGATAAGAAAATTACATTTTATTAACTATCCTGGGTGAAACCAGGCGATTAAATCTTTATTTCATGATCCTGGGTCAAACTTAGAACTGTATTCAGTCAGAAGAAAATACATCTCTTCAGAGCTTTGAACCTATAGCATTTCACTAGGATGCCACTGTTCTACCTCAGCCCTATGAATAATACAAGGAGTAACAAGATCCATAAACAGCATAAATACACACTTACGGCTTCAGCAGGACTTCATGTGCTACACAGCCTGGTGAGAACACTGCCCTGGATAAATAAGGGTCAACATTAATTATACAACTGTTTATGCAAATTTGTTATAATTTGTATGGTTCAACTGTTCCTAAAATACTGTTAGCAGTCAGTTCAACCTGTTAACTTATTCATTAAAAATCAAAGCAGCTGCTACAGTGGTCTGCAACAGTTACAAAATCACTATCTAGAGGTTAGTGAAATCACTTCACAATGCAGTACTTGACGTTTACCAGAGTTCCATTCCTGGCAGTAGGCAGTTCTCATAGATTTCAGACAGTGGTACAAAGTTGCACCAAAATTAGGGCCTCACCAGGTAAGTACTTCTTTTGTTAACAGTGGATACACTGCAGCTCACATCCATTGTGGAGACTGCACGATACATTTAGGTTTTTAGAACGGCTGACTAACACCTTCATTATTAAGGAACCAAATGATGAAGAGTAGACAACTCTGAAGCTGCCTGATCAACAACAACCACAACCTTGCATGATGGTTCACTTTTAAACTTTAGCGTCTCTGTGATTACATACTTCCACATTTCCTGTTCTTCTTAGCATTCACCAGATGCAAAACTCTGATGGAGAGTTCTGGCTGTTCATCCACTTCTGGACTTTGATCTTGTGTCAGGACTTAAGTTTTACATGCCTATCTCTTCTACTGATCTTGCTTATCCATGTAAAGACCGTTGGTTCCTTGCCTCACAGGCAGATGCACTCCAACTTTAAAAGAAATGCCAGTCTTATTGGCATCACACTGAATTTCTGAATGTTTTACTATGCATCAAATTGCTTCCTTAATGTTACACATTTCATCATGCCACACCTTTGGCTGTTTAACTCTGCCTAACATCACACATCCTTACCAATGAACTAACTTCTCAGTGTTTCACCATGTTTGATATCATTTTCTGAGAATACACTGTAAACATCAGGAAACTTACGACAAGTTGTGCAAAGTTCCTTTCATTTGCTCTCCCAGGTTCAACAAGTACCTCCACTGCTCTGAGGTCAGCTGAGTCTGTAGTGCCTCATCGAACACATTGTTGACCTGAATCTGTGCGGCGTCATACATGTTCTGAATAATGAAGACTGGAGCTGGGGGAGAGAAAAGACAAAGCAAAGTAGGAGACAAAATACAGCAACACGAGTCACATAATAAGCTGAGCTGAGTTGAAGTTCAAGATCTGAAATTGAAGCGATCAGGACAGCCCAAAAAGCACTCCATCCCCATTCTCAATAGCCAGAGAAAATTAGCAGTCAGTCTATATATCCATTTTGCTTTTCTTCTGAGTTTAGAGTATCAGCCTGATCCACTGGTCACTCACTGCTGTACCATTCTCTTCAAAATGTGATAAACTATTTACGCCCCTACATTGTTTAATTACTCTAAAAGAGCCTTGCCATCTAGCTTATTATGCATACATTTACCATTGTGTGGTCCAGAACCAGCCAATCTGCATGCCTGTTCATTTCTAGACACATCTACATGCTTTAAAGAAAATATCCAAAGGCTGCTAACTACCATGGACCTCCAAAGTGATGCTTGCCACTCTGCATGGAGCATGCTTCATGAATCAAAGCCACAGGAAGGCTGCAGTAACTACCTCTACCTCCGTTATAAAACTAGATGTTTGTGATATCATATACCAGGCTTTGTTTCACTAAGGGTTGTCCACAGGCTTCTGCCATGAACCCCATGCACTACGGGACACAAAATACAGCATTATATTTGACAATTTACATAAAACAACAGTTAGTGGGAAATACTACAGTTGGAAAATTTAAAGTTGAGAGGATTAACTTCACTGCACAGGGTTTAATCACAAATGGCTTAGTCCTTCTAGACAGAATGGGCCTGCTGAGTGTTGCACAAAGCCCAAACTCAGTGAATCTAGTGACATTCACAAGAGATCTTCATAAACATGAATGATGCATCCCCCCACCCCCCCAAGAGCTATAAAAGTCAAAAGTTTTCATCTGGTCTATTTAGACCAATCAGTGCTAAACAGGGGATGTCAGCAATTTTATCCAGGTCATTGTTACTTCCTAAGATATTTCCAGGTACCATTTTTCCAGCTGAACGACCTGGTATGGTTGAGGTGAAGGACCATTTCCATGGCCACAGCATATTGGGCACATGGTGTTAAACTCATATTATCGGCTCAGGATGGGTGACGTGGTCAACATCATGCTGGCCACCTTTACTTCCCAGGACTTTACCTGGTACCCATTTTTGACTGGGATGAGCTGGAAGTCATCAACAATAAAAATGGATTTGAATATGGATTTGAACTGAAGACATTCAAGCCTGCAGGCCAGCACCTAGCAACTATGACGCCTAAGCTCCTAAACTGAAATGGTTCACAGGAATTGAAAAAAGCACCACCCCAGAGAGGACAGAAATATACCTAATGAAGAAAGAAAGCATCTGGTGCTAATATTAGATTCCTTACCTTTTACAGAAGGATAGACACGGTGACCAAAAAAACATCTCCATATTTCTGTGCTGTACTGAGCTGTACAATCTGCTGGAAGTCTTGGCTCCCATACTCTGGGGGCAATGCCGACAACAATTTTAAATGAATTAAAATCTGTAATAAGCACTCACAATAGTTAGCAAACAAAACACATACCAAACGACAATCAACATAAGTAGGGTTTTTATTTTTCTGTGGAAGGCGTTGGTACACAGTATCTGAAACTTTGTTTTGTTTCTGTTTTTTGGCATCGTTGTGGTGAGTAACTGTGTCTCTGTTAGACATTATAATGAGCACCAGCAACATTGTTTTAGACACTCTGTGGTGAGTACCTGCAACTCTCCCCCACCCCATATGATTTGCTCCTTCTCTTTCTTCTTCTTCCTATTATTATTATTACTATTATTTTCCATCTTCTTCTCCTCCTCCTTAAGTCCTGTTTTGCCTTTCAGTCTCATATTCTGTTAAGGTATCTGGGACATGCCTTGGTGTGTACTGCACAGATGCTTGTATTCAAGGTCTTGGATATTCCATCTATACAATGCTGCTTACGTGGGTGACCTCTAGGACCGCTTCCGCAGGACAGGGCTCATTGAAGTTACAACTTCTGATAAATGGTGCTCTAAAGGAACGGCTTTGTCAGGTAGAGAAAGTCATGTGTTCCAGATGACTCTAGACCAACATCAGGCAAGGTTAAGACAGAGCAGTGACCTGATCCGCGACTCTTTTGACCATGTGACGTGGCAAAACATGGCCGTCTACGCTTTTCACCATAATTCATGATAATGATGTGTGTTCTGTGTGTATGTGACTGTGTCCAGGCATGTGAATGTCCCTAGTTCAACCGAACTATTTTAGACAAACCACACCATAAATAATTAAACCCAATTTATCAGTAAAGTGTCAAATATGAGATATTTGAGAAAGGTGGTCAAAATAAGAAGAAAGGACAAAGTTTGCAGCCAGACAATACATACTTAAACCCAGGAATTACAAACTCGAGTGGATTAGTCACAGTTATGATGGTTAGGACGTGTATACAGAATGGGAAAGAATGGGCTAGCACAGCATTTATGGAAGGCCAAGAGTCAGGAAACCAGACCTCCAAGACAACCCAGAGTCTGCTGCAAAGACAATATCCCTGACTGCCAGAGGACTGGAATGGAACAAAGCCACACAGAAAACTGCTGACAGAGAAGTCTGGCAATCTCTCTGGAAAACCTCTAGATTCCAAGGTACTAAGTAAAATTATCAGTAAAGTGAAGAAGTGAGGGACCCTTTTAAAACCACTGTCACAACTGGGTAGGTGAGGATTTTATTCTGGTAGTACGCAGTATCAGCACTGTTTATAAGCATTATTTTTTTTCGCTGCTACTGCAGTTGACACTTTGTGGGGAATACCAGCACCTTACCTTTTGTTATAGACACATTGTGGTGAGCACCTGCATCTTTTATAGACTCTTTGGAGTGAGTACCACCACTTTTATTTATTAAAAAACATTTTTTTTGGGTGGAATAATAGATGTGCTGGGCCAAGGTTGCAGATATTATAGTTTAGCTGTAAACCACAATACAAGGTGCCAACTGAAAAAATGAGGGCAGAATGAGGGAGAATGAGGAAGAAGAAGAAGAAACAAAAGAAGACTGGTGGAGATATTGTAGCTTAGCTGTAAACCGCAATACAAGGTGCCAACTGAATGAATGAGGGCAGAATGAGGGAGAATGAGGAAGAAGAAGAAGAAGAAGAAACAGAAGAAGAAGAAGAAGAAAAAGAAGAAGAAGAAGAAGAAGAAACAGAAGAAGAAGAAGAAGAAGAAGAAGAAGAAGAAGAAGAAGAAGAAGAAGAAGAAGAAGAAGAAGAAAAAAAAAAGAAGAAGACGAAGAAGAAGAAGAAAAGAAGAAGAAGAAGAAGAAGAAGAAGAAGAAGAAGAAGAAGAAGAAGAAGAAGAAGAAAAAAAAAAAAAAGAAGAAGACGAAGAAGAAGAAGAAGAGAAGAAGAAGAAGAAGAAGAAGAAGAAGAAGAAGAAGAAGAAGAAGAAGAAGAAGAAGAAGAAGAAGAAGAAGAAGAAGAAGAAGAAAAAGAAGAAGAAGAAGAAGAAAAAGAAGAAGAAGAAAGAAAGAAGGAGGAGAAGAAAAACACTCCACCTACCTGGCCCCTCTCTGTATGCCAGCCATCGGAGAACAGCTAAAGGAGTCCCTGCAAGGTTTGGCTTTAAATGGTTCGTTGTCCAGAAACCAACCAGCATCTACGACCCCCAACACTTGAGTATTGCTGTTGACAGCACGGATCATGTCGGAGATTCTGTCCAGGTTTATGAGCACACCTGTACCACCAGCACTGAAGACGGAAGAAACGCACCATGTGTATAGACGAATGTACATCCAATACACTGATGATCCATGCATTCATGCATTCCTTGATAAATCTACGAACATTTTCCCAATATAAATGTAAATAATGCAGACACAAAACAATACAGTGCACAATTTATTATACAATGTTTCTGTCTGCTTCATTGAAATATTAACCAAACTAGAAAAATTATCTTAATGCAAATCCTAAACCTAAATGTTCTCTAGATCTACCAAATTTCTATGAAGGGAAGCCAGCAGTTCTGGGAATCATTTGTTATTTGCACGTAAACAAACAAACAAAACTGTCCCCTAGGACTGCATACTGACAGATAAATACACAGTGATTTAAGGAGACTATTCAGAACAAATCGCAGAAATCCCACTCATTTGTGTAACACCGCTTTGTTTGTTATTGACCTGACCTAACAATTATGAAGTAACCTGAAGCCCAGTGGCATTTGACAGTGGCGATTCAGGGATAGGGACTGCAGAGCTGTAGCATCCCCATGTTTTCACTCAATATTTTAGCCATGCGTCAGCACTGTTGGTGGGCATATCTTAATATTATTGAATGCTTGTTCATTGCATTGTACTTTGTCTCCTCTGGGATTACACTCTGCAGGATTACCACCTCTAGGATGAGAATCCTACATCTAGAAATCCCAGTAAGCCCCTTTCAGCTGCCAGGTTATACTGTAGACCCGAAAGATATAAGGTAACCTGTAATTCAGACAATTATTATTATTCTTCTAATTTCCATGATTGCTGTCTGCAGGATTAACACCTGAAGAATGAGAATCGAATGTCGTCCATTGTGGAATGCAATTTATTGTTATTTTGAAGCCCCAACCTGGCTTTTGCCAGAGGCCCAGAATATAGCCAGGCCATAAATATGGTCTAGCCATAGATATGGCCAAAATGGCTGAAAGGGGTTTCTTGGACCTCTCCACGAGTGATCCTCATCCTCATGGTGGCACTTTGTGTCACCGGGTGTTTATCGCTTGTGTGATTTCCTGGCGTGGTATAACTACCTACCTACCAACAGGTACAAATCCACAATACAAATCTCACAAACCCCATTCAGTTGTAAATTATATTAGAGCACATTTATATTGGGGCACCACAAAAAGGGCCAAAGTAACCTGTAGTCTAGTGTGGGTGGCTAAGGATTATGAACTTGTTCAAGTATCTCCTGGTTTACTGTAATGTACAAGTAAGTTATTTCCAGTGTAATTTGGTAAACTTGGGTAAGTTACTGTCACTTTAATTAGTATATTCTCTCTTATATCAAAGTTCTCTTCTATTGCTGGTTTTCTCTTCCATTATTAAATCCCCTGAATTACACTTTCTCCCATGATGAGAGTTTTAATCTCTTATAAAAGGAATAATCTCTCATAACTAGGTCTTCTCCTTAAATGGGAAATAATTCAAACAATTAATTTCAACCCAATAAATGGAGTTCTCTCCCATAAATAACCTGCTATAACGATAATTCTTCGCCCATATTAACTTTGTGTAAATAATCAAATATGGTACACTAATTCCTTCCAATCTGAAAATTATAAATGGCTTTAGACAGTTGTTAAGAGGTAAGGACATTCAACTCGATCATAAACATGCCAGAGATGATTCACTTTACAGGCAGCATGGATTTTTACACAATAGTATTTATTTTCATTCCAAAAATATAACTTCTCCTTCACTTCTGCTTTGTACCTAGTTACTTTCATTTCCTTGTGAGATGCATTTTTTCGTTTTTTTAAAGCCTTACCCTAACTCCTGCCAGGGGCTGCAAATAATCTGGCTATAAATATGGTCTAATGGCTGAATGCGGTTTCCGGGACCTCTCCACGGGTGACCCTCATCCACATGGTGGCACTTTGTGTCATTCAGTGTTTATTGCTTGTGTGATGTCCTAGTGGGGTAACCTGTTTTACTTAGTTAGTCTTTCCTCTTGTGTCGAGTGCGGCACATAGGGCAGAGGTCGCGACTCTCCATGCACGGCGGTCCGTTGCAATCCGTTGTAGGTCTTGGATGTTTGAGTGGCCCATGAGCGAGCCTTCCCTGATGATAGTTCTACGTAGGGTTTCCCTTGGTCTTCCACGAGATCTTTTCCCCTGTGGTGTCCAAATGAGGGCTTGGTAAGGAAGTCTTGATTTATCCATTCTAAGGGCGTGGCCGACATAGTTCCAGCGGCGTTTTCGTATAAAATTAGACACATACTCTTGCCTGGATTCTTGCCTTATTTGTGTATTGGTTCGGAAATCTGACCATTTGAAATTTAGTATTCTTCTAAGGCATTTATTTTCAAAACTGTCTAATTTTGTGTCTAGAGTTTTCGTTGATTTCCAGCTCTCACATCCATAGGTTAGTACTGGAATCACACAAGAATTGAAGATCTTGAGTTTTGTGTGTTTGCTAAGTGTCTTTGATTTCCAGATGTTAGACAGTTTATTGAAGGCACTAGATGCCAGTGCTATTCTAAATGATATTTCTGTTTTACTACTACTAATAATTTGTGCCATTTTGACTTTCGGAGTCGAGAGAGATATATGATTATGGATAAAACTCTTTCCAGATATTGTATGCAATTCTGTTTGTATTTTAAAGGCCCACCCAGGGCCCTAAAATAATCTAATGGTTCATTGAGCAGGGTGTCTGGAACTTGTGATTGGGGGAATTCTCATCTGAATGATGGCACGTTGTGTCACCATGTGTTAATCACTCATCGTGAGGCTAAATGTAGTTCACTCACCCTAAGGTTCTAGTTGTTGCTCATCTGACTACCTCAACCATAGACACATAGTGCTGTTGTAGAATTTTTCTGATGTTATCTTTCAATCCTGTTCTTGGTCTAACCCCATCTTTTACCTCCCTCTCTCCTTTTGCAAGATGGCTTCTTCTGATAAAATACATGCACTGTGGCGCTGGTAGTCATGACTATTCACAATCTTTTGTCTTATGTACTTTCAATCAGTTCTGACACAAATGATCTTCCGTGCTATCATGTCAAACTGTCCAGTATCTTCTCACTCACTTTAACTCTGCATATTTTTTTCTCCAACTTTCTCATTGCCAAGATGTACTACAGTCTTTCCTTCTCATAAGTGACCACAAAATGTCAATTCTCTCCCTCTGATGACACGACCAAAGAATGTAGACTGTCTCCTTCTAATGACATGACCAAAGAATATAGATTGTCTAATTCTGATGACATGACCAATGAATTAAGATTTTCTCTTTTGATGACATGACTAAAGAATGTAGATTGTCTCCCTTTGATGACATGACCTAAGAACATAGATTGTCTCCTTCTGATGACATGGCATATGAACATAGATTGTCGCCTTCTGTCGACATGACCATAGAATGTGGACTGTCATAAATGAGTGAAGGCAGTGGTAAATTTCCTGTGTCATAATTTATAATTCTCATTGAGGGTGCCTAGGAGCTGCCATGGTTTTATATCCAAATGGTATGACATCTTTGCTAGTGGCCAGATGGTCTGTAAGGACCATCTACTCTTCCAAAGATCTCAGGCTTAAGTCCACATCAGGCAGATTTAACCACACACACACAAAAACACTGACTTGGCTCCCAGGTTGACCAAGCCTAAAATATTCAATATAATCTCTTAAAGGTGGCTGGCAGGATGTTGGCTGCAAGGCTATTGATAACATCACCAATTGGCTGCTGACAGGTTTATAAACAAGTGAGTCTAGCTTTATGTTACTGATGTACCAATGATGTCAGAAGGGTCTTTGCTAACTTATTTTAACTGTGGGCATTTTTCTTCAGTTCTGATAACAGTCAAACACATGTTTACTATCAGTGTTTTGATGGAGAGAAAGACTCACCTGGATCCAGCCAGAATCACGCTGGAGGACTGCCTCAAGCCTTTCCTCAGAAGCTCCTTGAAGATCTTTTCAAGTATTAGGGATCCCATGAATGAAAAATCCATGACTGAAATATAGAGATAGACAGAGAGACAAAGACAGAGAGACAGAATCAGACAAGTAAGCAATAAGATATAAATAGTCAGACTGTTAGAGAGAGAGAGAGAGAGAGAGAGAGAGAGAGAGAGAGAGAGAGAGAGAGAGAGAGAGAGAGAGAGAGAGAGAGAGAGAGAGAGAGAGAGAGAGAGAGAGAGAGAGAGAGAGAGAGAGAGAGAAGCAAGCAAAACAGTAAAATCCTGTAAACAGTTCAGTGAATATATATACTTAGACAAGAAATTAAAAAGAAACAGAATTAGACAATTACATAATAAGACATAAAGTCAGATTGTAAGAAAGACAGGCAAAATAAAGTAAGGTAAACTGTAAAATATATAGATGCATACTTAGACAAGAACAGAAAAAGACATAGACAGTGTAAGAAAGACAGACACAAGTAGCTACATAAACAATTAAACTGGCAAATATTTAGACGATCGGAGCAATAAAGACAGACAGAATCGGACAAATATACAAGCAGATACAATATTGAATGTTTACTACAGAGAAAAACAATATCCAGTGGACACATAATTGATAAATAAAAGGTTAATGGGGACATCTAGAAGAAAAACAGCTAACTCAACAACAGGCAGGATTGGAAAGTACAGATCTATGGAAGACCAAATAGCATATATAGCCCCGGAAATAGAGGATGCCTTCCAAGAGAAAAACTTAGAAAAGTGTGGAAGGAGGGACTGTAAGTAAAACTACAAAAATGTAGTATTTGTGGGAAGATGTGAAAAAAGGATCAGTCACTATCTTGAGAACAGAACTGGCAGGATAAAGGTACAAGGACAAACTAGCAAAAAAATTTTGTTAAAGCAAGGGGGGAGAAGGCGAAACTTTAGAACTGGCCTTCGCGTTGGCTCTCATCCTGGCTTGATCCACAATGTCTGCTACTTCTTTCAGGACTTTATTGTGATGACATGTATTTTGTCCCTGGCCTAGGGCTTTTCTGCATGTGAACAATATGTGCACGAGCGTCTGCTTAGCTCTGCATAGGCAACATGTCGGGTCGGTGGTCGCACGCAATTTGACCATGTTGGCGCCTGAGGGTAACACATCATAAGCAGCCCTTTTGACAAAGCTCAGCCGCAGCAGGGCCATTCACCAGATCTCACAACATGTGAGTATTCATGGCAAGGGGCTCTCCTGGCCGATCCACTTGCCTTGTTGTGACTGCTTGGTGGCTTTTTGACCTGATTCTTGTTTTCGGAGTGCCTGATCTGCTGTATTACCATGTCTCTGCGTTCTTTTACCACTGGTTTTTTTCCACAACTTCTTCTACCTCAGACTAAGAGAAAGGCATGGTTTAAAACATTGCTTTCTGCAACTCAGGCCAATGGTGAACCCCTTCCTGCCATCTAGAGGGTTATTCCTTGTGCGATCGGAGTACATGCTCAGTAAATACGATTTTAGCTCCTTGGGCAAACTGGAACGGGTCCCTAAACAACGTTTCTCATTCCCTTTTGATTCTTCAACTGTTCTTATAGAAGCGCTCAGTGTGACAGAGGGCACTGTGTCGGCTCTTCAGGTGCAGTCAGACCTTGTAAGTCCCTCCCGTTCGCTGCCTGTAGCTGCTTTAAACCGTTTTCTTAGTGCATTCTTGTCTGCTCAGCACTTCTCAATGTCTCTCTGCTTTCTGATTTTTCCGTGCGTCATGCCTGGCTGCATCTTCTAGACTGTCCAGAACTTTCGGGCACAATGAGGGTAAATTATGTCACCAAACCATGTTAGCTTGTCCTCTAGCAATTTTGTCTTTAATTAGTCATAATTAACTTCACACAGAATACCATCCAGCTTGCACCATCACACCTTTTGTCCGTACTTTATCAGAGATCTGCAAATGTGCACCTCCGTGATAAACATCTTGGGTCTCTCCAGGCGAGTGGGGTTCACCCTGCCTGTCCTTCCCTGATGACTCACATGCTATCAAAGAAGTCTTGTGCCGGCACTTACTACATGGCTCACCTTCCCATTTCATTCTTCCAGCATGCACTCTCGACCATCTTCCCCTGTGAAGCTACTTCCACAAATAAATTGCCAGCCCAGCCATTGGGCAACAGTCCTGGTCCTGGGGCATGTGGGGTCAATAACATTAGAATCAGTTTGAGTTGGTCCTTGATTCTTTCTCCTTTTCAGAGGGCCCTGAGAGCATATTGTATTTATAGTTAGAAACTAACCAGGAAGGCTTAACCCGGTCAACAAATGCTTGCAGAAAGCGGATGTGTAGGCTGAAAGAAGCAAATATCTTAGCCATGTGTAAACTGACACAACAAAATTTCATCTTCGGATAAACACAGAAGAACAAGAAGATATTTAAAAATTCTGAGTACAAAGAAATACTAATAAATATAGAGGTAGGCGAGAGCTTTTCTATCTGGTGTTACGCAATGGTGCACAATACCGGCACCTTTTTTTAGGCTTCATATTTTTCACTGCTACTGTAATAGAAAAACTGTAGGATGTACAAGCACTTTTTTAAAGACACTTTTTGGTGATTACTGACACTTTTTCATCAAGAAATAAACCTCAAGTAGACTAAATAAAACCAAACATAATATACAACCCACATACAAGTTATATATGGCTACCTGATGTTTTGTTACGTGTGCCACTCCAGGAATCACTGGAACAGTATGGGATGTACCTGTAATTAAAAAACAAAATTACTGTTTAAATTAGAACAACAGAATATACTATAAATAATTGTCTAGACCATAACAGTAGAACATACTACAGATAACTGTTCAGGCTGGAACAACAGAACATACTACAGATAACTGTTCAGGCTGGAACAACAGAACATACTACAGATAACTGTTCAGGCTGGAACAACAGAACATACTACAGATAACTGTTCAGGCTGGAACAACAGAACATACTACAGATAACTGTTCAGGCTGGAACAACAGAACATACTACAGATAATTGTCCAGACAAGAAAAACAGAACATACTACAGATAACTGTCCTGACAAGAACAACAGAACATACTAAAGATAACAGTCTAGGCTAGAACAACAGGACACACTACAGATAACTATCTAGGCTAGAACAACAGAACATATTACAGATAATGTCCAGATAAGAACAACAGGACATATTCCAGATAATTGTCCAGGCTACAACAGAACACACTACTACAGACAAAGTCCAGAATAGAACAACGGGACATACTACATATAATTGTCAAGACTATAACAACACAACATACTCCAGATAATTGTCCAGGTTAGAACAAAAGGACTCATTACAGATAATTGTCCAGGTTAGAACAAAAGGACACATTACAGATAATTGTCCAGGTTAGAACAAAAGGACACATTACAGATAATTGTCCAGGCTAGAACAAAAGGACACATTACAGATAATTGTCCAGGTTAGAACAAAAGGACACATTACAGATAATTGTCCAGGCTAGAACAAAAGGACACATTACAGATAATTGTCCAGGCTAGAACAAAAGGACACATTACAGATAATTGTCCAGGTTAGAACAAAGAGGACACATTACAGATAATTGTCCAGGTTAGAACCAAAAGGACACATTACAGATAATTGTCCAGGTAAGAACAAAAGGACACATTACAGATAATTGTCCAGGTTAGAACAAAAGGACACATTACAGATAATTGTCCAGGCTAGAAAAACAGAACACACTAGATATTATGTCCAGACTAGAACAACAGGTCACTGTCTGAGCTAGAAAAACAGAGCACACTACAGATAATGTGCAGACTAGAACAACAGGACATACAACTGATTATTGTCCAGACTATAACAACAGATCAGAGAAATAATTGTCCAGCCTAGAACATTAAGAACACACTACAGATAATGTCCAACCTAGAACATTAGAACACACTACAGATAATGTCCAGCCTAGAACATTAGAACACACTAAAGATAATGTCCAGCCTAGAACATTAGAACACACTACAGACAATGTCCAGCCTAGAACATTAGAACACACTACAGATAATGTCCAGCCTAGAACATTAGAACACACTACAGACAATGTCCAACCTAGAACATTAGAACACACTACAGATAATGTCCAACCTAGAACATTAGAACACACTACAGACAATGTCCAGCCTAGAACATTAGAACACACTACAGATAATGTCCAACCTAGAACATTAGAACACACTACAGACAATGTCCAGCCTAGAACATAAGAACACACTACAGATAATGTCCAGCCTAGAACATTAGAACACACTACAGATAATGTCCAGCCTAGAACATTAGAACACACTACAGACAATGTCCAGCCTAGAACATTAGAACACACTACAGACAATGTCCAGCCTAGAACATTAGAACACACTACAGGTTATTTTCCAGACTAGAACAACAGAAAATACTACATATAATTACCAAAGCTAGAACAAGAGGACATACTTCCGATAACAGTCCAGGCTAAAACAACAGAACATAGCCAGGCCAAAATGGGGACCAATAATAAATAGGACGGAACAGACACAGGGTCACATCAGAGGACATAAGGGCAAAACCACAAATGAGACTCAACCAGATAGTAATAACCTATAAGGCAAAAACAACAGGAAGATAGTGAAAACAGGAAAACAATGGGACACAAACAAGAAAAAGCAGGCAATTTCTCTGGTTATAGCCATCAACCTGGCACAAATACCACACAGTCAACTAAAAGCACTTAGTGCAAACAAACAAGACCATAAAAAAAATCAATTGCTGTTGGCAGCTTCGCTGTCAGCAGCAGGTTGACTGTGGTCGAGATTTTAATTTTTTGTTTAGAGAGGAAGGAATGAAAAAACAGAACGTAACTACAGATAATAGTGCAGGCCAGAACAATTAAACACACTACAGATAATCTTTCGTGCCAGAACAATGAAACACACTACAGATAATCTTCCATGCCAGAACAATGGAACACACTACAGATAATCTTCCAGGCCAGAATAATTAAACACACTACAGATAATCTTTCATGCCAGAACAATGGAACACACTACAGATAATCTTCCAGGCCAGAACAATGAAACACACTACAGATAATCTTCCATGCCAGAACAATGGAACACACTACAGATAATCTTCCATGCCAGAACAATGAAACAACACACTACAGATAATCTTCCATGCCAGAACAATGGAACACACTACAGATAATCTTCTATGCCAGAACAATGGAACACACTACAGATAATCTTCCATGCCAGAACAATGAAACACACTACAGATAATCTTCCATGCCAGAACAATGGAACAACACACTACAGATAATCTTCCAGGCCAGAACAATGGAACACACTACATATAATCTTCCAGGCCAGAACGATGAAACACACTACAGATAATCTTTAATGCCAGAACAATGGAACACACTACAGATAATCTTCCAGGCTAGAACAATGGAACATGCTACAGATAATCTTCCATGCCAGAACAATGGAACACACTACAGATAACCTTCCAGGCCAGAACAATGAAACACACTACAGATAACCTTCCAGGCCAGAACAATGAAACACACTACAGATAACCTTCCAGGCCAGAACGATGAAACACACTACAGATAATCTTTAATGCCAGAACAATGGAACACACTACAGATAATCCTCCAGGCTAGAACAATGGAACATGCTACAGATAATCTTCCATGCCAGAACAATGGAACACACTACAGATAACCTTCCAGGCCAGAACAATGAAACACACTACAGATCTTCCAGGCCAGAACATCAGAACATATGACAATTAACAGTATATTTATTCTCTGCTTCCATTAAGGCTACACTGGCCAAGTGGTTAAGCTGTCTGCTTCATGTTTTGAAGGTTGTGAGTTCAATTATTGGCTCTAATTTCATTCTGTAGGTGCAAATGTTTTAAAGATTCCTACAGATTACTGCCGGAGCTGCGGAGTTTGTGGTTTGTGTGTTAATGTTGCAAATTACCAGCAGCTCTGCAGACAGAGTCCAAGTAAGTAAAATGTAAAGATCCCTTTATACGCTCTTAGGCGCATTGGGCATATGGGAAGAGCACCTATATTTTTTACAGACCAATCGGCACTTGGTGGGTAATGTAGTCAGCATTACGTTGGCCGTCTTTACTTTCCCAGGACAGCCCATCCTGGTACCCATTTGAGGCTGGTTCGACCTGCGACGTCCCATACCACGATAAAAATCCACGCAGGTTTAGATCGCGGTACGTTGGATTACGAGTCAGACTCGCAACGCCTTAGCCACGGACGCCGCAGAGTCCAAGTAATATGGGATAAAAACCTGGTGCTAGGAAGTTGTCCTCTCAATTTTAAACACCATTTACAGCTCGGAATGTGCAGCCACTATGAGTAAAAAGTTAAATACAGGCCATAAATATATGATAAATTTTCATTTAAAAAATGCAACAAATAGTCATAAACAGTTTATAAATAGTCATTTTAAAAACTTCTAATTGCCAGATAATAAAACTGAATTATTGAACTCACACAACATTTGAGTGAAAATGGTATGGGTTTTCCTCTGGATCCCAGGACAGAATGCCAGAACCTGAAAGACATAATTTATTGATTATACTTTAAACCATACGTGTGTCAGGATTTTTAAGTGTGCAGTTGTGATGTCAAAACAATAAGCTTTGGTTCTCACATGTCAATGAAATACATAGTAACAGCAGCCAGTGGAAAATCAGGATGACTGGTTATAACCAAGAAAAAGATTTCCTCTAATACCTAAATAAAACACAAGTGGTCATCATTTTTCACCTATGCACCAGACAGTTCAGTCTCAACAAACACTAGTATAAATTATGTATGATAACCATACAGCACTCTGTCAGTGTCTTCATGCTGAACAGATTCCTAAACATGTCCTCTGTTGAAGGAGCCATGAAGCAACATGTAGCCACACCCAGTACATCTGACACTATCCTCTGCTGAAGAAGCTATGAAGCAACATGTAGCCACACCCAGTACATCTGACATTATCCTCTGTTGAAGGAGCCATGAAGCAAAAAGTGGCCACACCCAGTGCACCTGACAATATCCTCTGTTGAAGGAGCAATGAAGCAACATGTAGCCACACCCAGTACATCTGACACTATCCTCTGTTGAAGGAGCCATGAAGCAACATGTAGCCACACCCAGTACATCTGACACTATCCTCTGTTGAAGGAGCCATGAAGCAACATGTAGCCACACCCAGTACATCTGACATCAGCCTCTGTTAAAAGCTATGAAGCAACATGTAGCCACACCCAGTACATCTGACACTATCCTCTGTTGAAGGAGCCATGAAGCAACATGTAGCCACACCCAGTACATCTGACACTATCCTCTGTTGAAGGAGCCATGAAGCAACATGTAGCCACACCCAGTACATCTGACACTATCCTCTGTTGAAGGAGCCATGAAGCAACATGTAGCCACACCCAGTACATCTGACATCAGCCTCTGTTAAAAGCCATGAAGCAACATGTAGCCACACCCAGTACATCTGACACTATCCTCTGTTGAAGGAGCCATGAAGCAACATGTAGCCACACCCAGTACATCTGACATCAGCCTCTGTTAAAAGCCATGAAGCAACATGTAGCCACACCCAGTACATCTGACATCAGCCTCTGTTAAAAGCCATGAAGCAACATGTAGCCACACCCAGTACATCTGACACTATCCCCTGTTGAAGGAGCCATAAAGCAACTTGTAGCCACACCCAGTACATCTGGGTAGCACCACTAAACTTTGGGGAAACTGAGGAGACCTGAGGCTATCCTAGCTTATGGCCCATAGTGAACTATGGCACATGACCATTTGATGATGATGAGGTTGTTTATGATGCTGATGATGCTGATGATAAAGATGATGACGCTGATGACTGCTATTATGAAGACAATACTGATGACACTGTGTATATAATGAAAAGTAAAGCAAATACTGTTATCTACCAACCTTGTTTGTACTTTGGCCAGTTTCTAGAACTCATGGAGTCGCCCATGACTCGGAATCTTTCAGAGCAGCTGATGTGATCAAAACAATACCAGCCGCCTGACAGAAACACAGACAAAAGAAATTGATATTTAAAAAAATGTTTTTAAGTGTGACAGTCTTGGTGGTACCGCCACCAACATGCTTGCCTACCAATCCAGAGATCATGCATTTCTTCTTCTTTTTCTCATTCTGCTTCTTCATCTTTCTTCACCCGAAAACATTGTGCTCATTTATAGCATGGCTGCAATATTTGTGCCAAGCCTTTCTGCCAACATATCTGACTTCTGTAGGCATATGTTACCTGGTCGATCCTTTCTTTAATCCTGCATTTCAATCCACCAAGGCAAAGACCATTTTAAAGGATCTTGGATTAGGGCATGCCACTATAAAGAAATCTTTGAGGTGGCAGAGCCCTGTTTAAGCATGCAATAATAATTACTATTATGTACAGAATGGATAAAAAATACAACTTAAATTTAAAATAACATGAAATGTATAAACATAGACTTAAATAACGTTTACACTTGGTTATAATTAACCCCCCCCCCCCCCCCCCCCTTTTTTGCAGAACTTAGGCAACAAATGAACAAACTCAGGTGAAAGTGCTCACCACAAGGAATATAAATAAAAAAAAGATAGCAAAGGAACCGTCCTTGAAAAAGCAGGCCATCAGGCGGCTAAAAAAGGACTAAGCTTGAAATTTTTGTTTGATTTTATACGATACGATACGATCCTTTTTGCAAATTTTCTGGCACAAATGATCTCAAAACGACTGAGCACCCACCCCCACCTGATTCCGGCTTGTATGCCAGGTTTGACCCAGGGTGTGAGGAAATGTCCTGGAAAGTAAAAGCAGTTGATACGATGTTGATCCCATTATCCATCAAGCAATAATTGGTCCTCTAAAATATGACACCATCACTGAATACTCAGATCAATCTCTCGAGTGAAGAAATGTAGAATAACTGAAGCCAAGGCTGCATTACCCATGAAAGGTGCAAACAGATGAAAACGGAGAGTAAAAAGCAATAACGCAATTCAAAATATTCAAATCACCACTGACTACTAGCCTCGTGAGGACTAATAGACTGAAACTATTAGGGAAGATACAGAGAACAGTAGATATCAGGGAAACCATCTCATGACAAATTGCGCTCTCCTCTGATATTGTTCACCCCATGTCCTCCCTATTTTTTTTTAACTTCACTCTCCAGTTCACTTCTCCGTGCATTTTTGTTTTTAAATTATAGTCTGCAAATATTTCTACGCCCCTCTGGGTTCCAGTGCAAAGACACTAGTTATATTGTCTCAGACTTTCTCAATGTGTGTCCTATCCAACACCAGCATCTTTTCTTCACTGGAAATTGCTTATTTCTGTACCAAATCTCAACATTAGAGATTCTATCATTGCATTTAATTCCCTCTATTCATCACAGGTACCAGTTAATGAATGAATGTAGTTTATTAGTAATTGTTTTAATTGTTATCCGTGTTTCCGCTCAATACAGCAGTACTGATTTGAGATTAGATTTAAAACTTTTCAGTGATATCCTTTAGAGCAGGGGTTCTCAAAACGTTTGTGGCTGCGGCACCTTTGTCGGGCTAAAAAAAAAAAAAAAATTTTTTTGCACACCTACACATAAAGCGGTTAAATTCTTAGGAGAAGAAGAAAATATAGTGCACATTTAATGTTCAGTTGTCTTTAATGTGATGAACGAAACTGTATGGCTGAATTTTGCATTATATCCTTTTCATTTTTAGAAATGCTCTCTATCATAAATGACCCTGGATGAATTTTGTTGATTACTGCCGCAACACCCCTGGCATAAGCACGCAACACCATAGCCTGCTGCAGCACCCAGTTTAAGAACCTCTGCTTTAGAGAAATTAGACAACTATTTGCTTGTTTTTTTTTTCTCATTATCTTTGTCTTTCTCTCGTGGATTTTTATACACAACTGTTCTGATCTCACATCAAATAAATAATACATCTTGCATCTGATTCCTTGTGTGGGATAGAAGAGAAATATCATCAAGGTGTCTCATCAATTTCCAGAGAGATTCCCTATCAATACTGTGAAAGGCCTTTTTCACAGTCTACAAATTAATGTAAACTGGTGAATTCAATATCATGATTTGCTCTGTTATTTTGCATAGTGTGGATGGTCAGTATAAGAACTGTCTGGCCGAAAACCCCTTAGTTGTTTATTTGTGGCATCTTTTAATCTTTCCAAAGCAATCCCACTTAATATTTTTCCAGAAACTGACAACAGCTTAACTTCTCTTTAGTTTTTAAACTCTTGCAGAGAAACTTTTCTTTGGGCTGTTTCACAAGACATCATTCTCTCCAATCTGCTGGTTTTTTTTCAATCTCTCAGACTTTACTGAATAATTTGTGTCATAATACCTTAAATGTGTTTATACTGGCCTTAATAACTTCTGCAAGGATACCACCTGGACCTGTAAACTTCCCTTCTTTCAAAAGATTGATATCTTTCATAATTTCGCCTTTAGACAGTATCTCACAATCAATATCCAGGTCCATTTCTAATGTCCAGATATCTCAAGGGACATCTGGGGTTGGTATTTTCAGATATACTTCAAAATATTAAGCTCATCTGTCCATTTGATCTTAAGTGTTAGTGAGAACCTTTCCTTGACGATTTTTGATTGATCTGTTTGACTGACTATATTTACCCACTAATAACCTTGTGATCTTGTAAAGGTCTCTGAGGTTTCCTTTTGCTGCTGCTGTTTTCGCTTCTTGTGAAAGTTCTTCTAAACATTTGTTTTCAGCTATCCGTGTTTGCCTCCTAACTTCCTTATTAGCCTCTGTGTATTTTTCTTGAGCTCTGGCTTTAGTAGCTCTAGTTTTGCTGTTGTACTGCCCTTCCTACATCATACAATCTTCTAACATTCCATATGCCAACACCAAATATTTTGTAACTGAAAGTAGACACATCAGAAGCAATCCTGACTTCTTTTGGCCATCTCCGCTTTACGTCATTATAAGTTTGTTAGAAGACTTTTCCCTGTGGCTATTTTTGTTTTCTTTTGCACTGATGATGTAGCCAACCCAAGGCCCAACACTACCCTTACTTGACCCCTACAACATGCCTGGTTGGATGCAGTGTTTATATTCTTGGTTTCCCATGAGGGAAGACACAACATACGGGCGACCATCAGATATTACTATAAGGAAAAAGGTTCTTATTACCTTCTAAGAAAACAATCCATCGACTGCTGCCTGGGGATCTTCTGATGTAGTAACTGGCAGAAAAAACAAAAACACACATATGATTTTACAATGAAATGATACATTTGAATGTTGAATTACCAATTGACCTCACAACACTCGGGACCTTATAAGTGCTCCATCCCCATCTTCAGCAGCGAGCAAAGAGTTCCAATTCTAATGGCACGATTAACAGTCTGATCGTATATCCATCTTGCCTTTTTCTTGAGAGTTGAGCGTCAGCCAGATCCTCTGGTAACTCCCCGCAGCGTTATTCTCCTCAGATTGTAATGATCTATTTGTGAACAGCTGTCTTCAATACTGAAGATGGTCTTGATTTGTGCCTCAACAATGTTCACTCGCTCCCAAAGGACCCTCACAATATCTAGCTTGTCACACATGAATCTTTGAGTTTGAAGTACAATGCAGCACTTATGGGTTACTACCCTTGTGACATGATGTTGATGAGTTGTTTAAACCTATACATCAATTCACCACTATATTTGACAACAGCTACAGCGTTCGCCTGCCAGTCCAAATGTATAGGGCTCCACTAGTCCACAAATTTAAATAATAACCTACATTTATATTGATAAAGACTGTCACACTGTTATGTTACTTTACTGTTCACCTGTTGAGTTACAGAAAATATGCCAGAAGATAATTTATTCAATATATGTTATTATCATTACAGTACTCCTGTCTGTATTCCATAGATGCTCCGATCTGATCCTCAATAAGCCCACAAGCATTTTAAAAAATGAAAACCCCAGTTTTGTGCTGATTAATCAAACGTCTTGTGCCCTTGGTGAACAGTTAATTTCTTGAAGCTCTAGGTGCACCTCTAGCCTAAACGGGAATGCACTGTCATCCCCTTTGTCATCTTCATCTGGTTGCTTCGAACACTGGCATGACCCCCAAGCACAACAATATAGGTAAGGCCATCATTTTTTTTTTTTTTTGGCCAAATGCTTAGTGATACTATCCATTGTGATGACATGCTCAGTGACTTCAGAATGTCTTTCCTCAACCTACTTTTATTTCTATGTATTTTAAAGTATACAGAAATTATATGGTTTTGGATACATCCTTAATCTAAGTAAGGCGACCCGAACAAACATTTAGTTCTCCTGGACTGCTGGTGATATCAAACACTGAAACTTTTTCCCAGTTGTAAAGTGTTAAGATAAGACTGACAAGCTCAGACTTTGTGACTGTAGATTTCGCTTGCCAAAACTTTGGTGTCAGATAATTATCTTTTAGCCAGACCTATAGGAGCAGATAACCAAGGCTAATTGTGATTATCTCCTCCTGAGGTTACCCAACTTGAGTGCAGGTCAGATCGCCAATATTGACACATCGGCTAAAGGTGAAGGCAGGTTGAAGAAGGGATGGGAGGTGTGACTTTGCCTATTAGCTTTGACCAGCTTGATTGAGCAGGAGAATGTAACCGTGGGAATGTAAACAAGTTGTGTACAGTCTTGACTGACAGTTAGTAGACTTACCCACAGGGAGGATCTGTGACATCCTTGAATGAGAGTAGTTTTAGGAGTAATGTAGGAGGAGCTTAGAAGAAGTTATAAAAGGGTGATTCTAGAACTGGGAATGAGACTCTGCCATCTTTTGGGCTTAAACCTAAGCTTGAGACAGAACTTATGGCATTGTGTTGTCATTTTCCAGGTAAGCGAAACTAGTTTAAAAACCTGTATTTCGTGATAGAAAGCTAACTGACTTTTTGCTAAAGTGTGTGTCTTCATCACTTTGTAGTACTTCTTAGCGGACCTTTCTCCATTCTCTTATATATCCTATTTGATAGTGTCATGAATGTTTTTTAGTGCATATGTGTTTCAATGTTGTACAACTTAAATGTTGATGTTACCACTGAAATGTAATGAACTATCATTTGTCTGAAATGACAAGCGTGAAGATACCTTTGGCAGCCTTTTCACGTGTGGTTAATTTGAATCTGTATTACATACAGCTAACACACTGAAATGTGTTTAACTCCCGGGAGCCTAATGCGGAGATTGATCCCAGAGAGTAAATCCATTAGATTTGTTATTTGATTCGCCCTAGAAATATTGTTAGCATTCTGGGCGCGTCCATTGTTCCAAGCATTGATTTCAGAACTTGTTCTGTCTATCTGATTGTCAATTTGAGTCTGTACGAGAGATGACATCAGACATAGAAGACTTGACTATCATTACAGGACGTGAGTAGAGGAAGGCAGGAAATGTAACGGCTTGAATGTGAGACATAAGCCCTTCCAAACTGGACAGGAGTGAATGTGAAAATGAGGGAGAGATGAAATGTTATTTAAATAGACATGTTTGATGTTATTATAATATACATGCTTAGTGTACATCTAGATTAGATACTACACATATGCGCTTGTTTCTTTATCACAGTTCCCACATTGGGCAGGGACTAGTAGGCATCCATTCTTCGCCGACTAGTCGAGTGTAACGACCTGCTCGAAGCAGTGAGGATGACAAACTGGAAAAGAATAGGCAGGGTCTCAAGCCGAGAACTGTCCAAGGTTTATATTCTCCAACTAGGAGTTAAGTATATTAATTCCATCAATAACACCATCTTCACTCTACTGGTATAAACCGGTTCATATTATTTTTGGTTAGATTTATTCAATAAATCTTGTTTATGTTGTTACAAAATAGTTGAGTAAATTGTGTACTTAGGTTCAAGTGTCTTTGTGCATACTAGTTTACTTCAGCTGACAAAATATTTAAATCACTTGATGGGGGCTTTTAAGTAATGCCAGGAGAGGAGAATGTCCGAGGGGTTAACTGTGTACCTTGATAATATCACAGGGTTTATCCTGATATCTATCTATCCCTTCTCTTACTCTTGTGGATACAAGTACAGCAACTTCCATTAACTGAACGAGCCACTCGCTGTTTTCTTGGCTATCCAGGACTGTCTAGGATCAAAAAGCTTAGATATTAGTCCAGTTTCTCACGTGGGTGGGCACTGTTAAGGTTTAAACCCACACCCTCACTATATCAGTGTATTTACCCACGTGGGCTCGCGACATCCATTCTTGTGACACTTTTATTGAAATAATTGTAAACTTACCCTGCTGGTGTGCCATCGTTACAAGAAACTTCAACAGACTTCAAAAGCCTCCTTTGCAGTGATGGCATCTCCTTGTCCTGGCAGCCAGCCATGGGTTGGCGCCACAGCCATCTTCTCCGACCGACATGCTCCAATGTTTTATCATTGCTGCCTGCTGTCTTCGTGGGTCGTGTGGACAAGGTGGAGTTGGATGACAAGAAAACACAGGATCCAGGCAGTGAGCTTAATGACGCCATAACTACCGTACATACTGTAATAAGACCCAGTTCCATGGCTTACCTGCAAAATATTGTTAAAATCAAATTTAAATATGCACGTGCGTTTGTAGAATCTATATTGCAGTAAGTAAGTAAGTTCTCCCCCCCCCCCCCACCTTTTTTTATGATTTGGGTTATGTCGACGGTACTCCGGACACGTTCATAGGTGCTCAGATTCCCACTTCAGCATATACATTAGCGTCCCGCGGTTGATGGTCCTAGTCCTATGTTGGTTGACAAGACTTCTCGTGCGTCCAGTGTGCTTCTCGTGCCTGGCTGTGCCAATCTATGCTCCCAATTCTTGCACTCTTAGCGAAGATGTAGATGTGCTGCTCTCACAATCCTCTAAACGTCCTACCTCTCTAATGCGTTAACAATGACGGCATGATCCATGGGCTGGCCCAACTGTAACTAAAGCAGAGCCGGATAATCTGTCGGCGATTTCATTGCCAACAACACATGCATGACCTGGGAGAAAGATGGGGGTAACTACTCACTGTGGAATTTTGCAATGACTCGATCTGCACTGTCTGCTTACTAAGCTCGCCTCGACCCGCCCGATCATACTTATGTAATAACTCAGCACACACACGGGAGAACAGCCCTGGATGCTAGAAACATAAAAGCTTGTGTTACCGCCATCACCTCCATTGTCATACTGCTAGTAGTCATATCGAATTATGGTGGTGAATCATGAAATGTGAATTCACAAATTAGAAAGACTCAGGAGGCGACGGAGATGTGGTTTTTCAGACGTATGTTAAGAATCTCTTGGACTGCCAGATCACGCCCATCTGTATATATGTCCTTCCGACTAAATCACGGGACATTTTGGCGAGGTCCCCTCGAAAATTGCTCAGTGGAAGCGTTTCTATGTTGCATTGTGTAGCATTTTAATATGCTTACAAAGTTCTGTGTTCTGAATGTATTCGTATTACAAATCGACAAGCGGATTTTGTTAAGTGGATATACAAGATTTTCAAACTTTGCTGTTAGATTACAGCAATTTGAATTTAAATTCACGGAAGACAGTCGTGTTGTGATGTTTGTGTCACTGTGTCTAGTCAGTAGTTTGAATTTTTTTTTTTTTTTTTTTTTGGAACTCTTTGTTTATTCTTTTTGTACTTTGAATGTGAAAATCTTACTTTTGGGGTAAATACAAACATGCAATTTAAAAGTTAGATCTGGAGAATATCGACAGTTGTCAGGTGCAAACTATCTTGTGTTGGAAAAAACTATTGCTTTCATACTCTTTACTAATTGTTAACTAACAGTATAATTATATGTTGTAGAATTAGAGCCAGAAATCTCTGGTTGTTCATCTACTTCTATAAATAGAGTCGGCCGTGTGCCAGAGTTACTAACAAAGATTTCTTGAAGGAAGAGAGATAGTTAACATGTATTATAGATTTAAAGAACCCTAAGATGAACGTTGCTGAGAGAAAATCAAAGGTGCTGGACTGATTCCAGAACGACTGCGCGCGATAGAAAGGAGTGGAGGACTATATGCCAGCCCTGTGTGACTATAACGACACAACAAGATGATGATGGTTTTAATGGAGAATGGGCAATAACGTGCGTGCATCAGAAAACTTCACCCATCCAGTGCCGATTAAAAAGACCCCTTTCCCCGCCTTTGGGCACAGTGGTTAGGTTATATAATGCAAGACGTATATGTGATAGAC